GGGGGGGGGGGGGGGATCTCGCTGTTTGAAACAATATTAATTATTCAAATGGGTCTCGTCGCACGCTACATTCATGCAAGTGCAATGTCTGCGCCGCGGAATTTCCCGCAATAACAAACGGGAGGGGACCTCTTTCCGAAGCACTTTTCCCTAATCGGATTTCCAGCCGCGGAATTGCCATTGTGCACGTTGCCGTTGCAGCGCGCCATGGCACGTTTGCAGGCAGTGCAATGTTGAAACGGTCAATATACGATGATAAATGCAACGCTACCGCGTTCGAAACAAAGGAATCGTCGTCGTCGTCATTGTCGTGGTCGTGTCGAGAAGCGGGGAAGGGAGTTCTTCGTCGATGAATTGATTTCCGGCCGATTGGACTCTGTGTATAAACGGGGTTCTCTCTTTCTCTCTCCTTCTCTGTGTTCCTCTCCCTCTCCTCTTTCTATACGTTATCGCCGCTTAGATTTCACAGCGGTTAAGGTTTTACGGTCGCCGACGACCGTAAAACCGGCGCCAGACGACATCAAACGCGCTCGTAATTGAAATAATGCTTAACCGTAGGGTAAGCAGAATCACGGCCGGGGCGATCACACCGCAGGATAAAGCCGAGAGGACTCCGTCCGGGACGCGCGGGGTATGGAATTCTCTGAGCGCGACACGGGCCGCAACTCTTCGCTAGGAAATGGCGCGTTCATCGGCGGGGAACGATATCGGGAAGAGGAACGCGGCGATATGTTCGGGTTCCCGTTCCGTTGCGTGAGAATATTAAGTTCGTGAATTCCTCTGGGACATATTAAGTAATTCGCACAGGAACGTCAAGTCAAATATCACCCTCTTCCCTCGGTCTCTGTTACTCTCTCGTTGAAGCGCAGGTGACACTGCGGGATTAGTTCGAGATTCACATCGACTGTCAAACGCGACTTGCTGTCGCGAGAGCAAACAGAAAGGGTTGAAAATCATGGGATGACCTGGCACGACGCGGCGCTACATTACGCGACACGACAACGACGACGACCACCACCATCAGCTCAGAGTGCGCGCGCGCGCGCGTCCTGCGCGGGGGTAAATAAATTATTTCCCCGATAAATCCCCAAGTTTCGCGGAAAGTTTCGCCGACGAGTCGGGAAGAGAGACAGAGAGAGAAAGAGAGATTACCGTCTTGCTTCCTGCGGAAAGACTCGATTAAGAGTCGCCGGTGAACACGGCCCGCTAAATGATTCATCGTTACTCGAGCGCCGTAGGAGAGGGAGGG